CGGGCCCCCAGTGCTGGGGCCGGCAGGGAGAGGAACGGGGGAAACCCCTGCTCGGCCCCAGTCACTCTGCCTTCCAGCCTCCGCTCCCTGCCCGTGGGACGGCTTTTAACACATCAGGGGAAACCGTGGGCCAGGTCGGCCACAGAAACGAGAAGCCCCCTTTATGCTGGTGCCACCAGTGGCACGTGCCAGATCCCTCTGGCCCGGGGGGGGTGCAGAGCAAAGGGTCACAACAGGAGTGCACGGGGGGGACGCGGAGCAGAGCGCACCGCAGAGCACCCACGGGCCCTCGAACGAGTCCAGGGGCCAGCGGACACTGCCCGGAGAGACTCCGCTCAGAGACGGGAACGAAGCCGGGCAAGGGACACAGCCCTGCAGACCCCAGGGACCCTCCGGCCACAGCCTCCTCCCTGGCCAGGTACACGCCAGCTTGGCCAGGGCCAGGAGGAGGTTGGCAGGGGGGCCTGGGACTTGGAGGTTTTGAAGACCCAGGTAGACAAAGCCCCACGGCCCCACTGAGGATGGAGACTCCACAACTTCTCTGGGTAACCTGTCCCAGCGCTTCACCACCGTCCTCGTGAGAGAGTTTTCCCTAATATCCAACCTCAACTTCCCTTGCTGCAGCCTGAGCCCATTGCTCCTTGTCCTGTGGTCTGCTCCCACTGAGAACAGCCCAGCTCCATCCTTTGGGCGCCGCACTTCAAGAGGGATGCGTGGCTGCCTATAAGTTCATCACGGGGGCACAGAAGGGAATTGGTAAGTATTTATTCACCAAGGCGCCCCCGGGGGTTACAAGAAATAATGGCCACAAGCTAGCAGAGAGCAGATTTAGACTGGACATTAGGAAGAACTTCTTCACAGTTCGAGTGGCCAAGGTCTGGAAGGGGCTCCCAAGGGAGGTGGTGCTCTCCCCTACCCTGGGGGTCTTCAAGAGGAGGTTAGATAGGCATCTGGCTGGGGTCATCTAGACCCAGCACTTTCCTGCCTAGGCAGGGGGTCGGACTCGATGATCTATTGAGGTCCCTTCTGACCCTAACATCTACGAATCTATGAATCCTCTTTGCAGCCCCCCTGCAGGGAGGTGAAGGCTGCTATTCAATCCCCCTCAGTCTTCTCTTTTCCAAACTAAATCAGCCCATTTCCCTCAGCCTCTCCTCACCAGTCCTGTCCCCCAGCCCCACAACCATTTTCATTCTCCTCCACTGGACTCTCTCCAATGTGTCCACATCCTTTCTGTAGTGGGGCCCACAGCTGGACACAGGACTCCAGACGTGGCCTCCCCAGTGCAGAATAGAGGGGAAGAATCGCTGCCCTCCATCTGCCAGCACCGCTCCTACCGATGCAGCCCAGGATGCCGGTAGCCCTCCTGGCACCAACAAGGGCACACTGCTGGCTCCTGTCCAGCTTCTTGTCCCCTGTCCCCCCAGGTCCTTTTCTGCAGAGCTGCTGCCCAGCCCATCGCCCCAACCTGCAACACTGCAGGAGAATGCTCCTTCCTAAGCGTAGGATTTTGCACTTGTCCTTGTTGAACCTCCTGAGTTTTCTTTTGGCCCAGTCCTCCAATGTGTCGTGGTCACTCTGAATCCTAGCCCGACCTCCAGCGTATCAACTCCCTCAGCTTGGTATCATCTGCAGACTTGCTGAGGGTGCATCCATCCCATCTTCCAGGTCACTGATGAAGATATTGAACAAAACCAGCCCCAGGACCGACCCCGGGGCACCACACTTGAGCCCAGCTGCCAACTAGACATCGAGCCATGGATTACTGCTCTCTGAGCCTGATGCTCCAGCCAGGTTTCTATCCGGTCTCCCCGCATCTAGAGCCAGTCACCTCGTAGAAGGGAATCAGGTTGGTCAGGCAGGACTTGCCCTGGCGAATCCCTGCTGACTGTTCCTGATCACCTTCTCCGAGTGCTTCGGAAGTGCTTGCCCCAGACTCGGTCACGAACTCAGCCAGGAGCCACCCAGCTCCCACCCCGGCTGCAGCCCCCAGCAAGGGGCTTGAGCTGGGAGCAGCCCCGGCCCCTGCACAGACCGTGTTGGGGGACGGCTGGTGTTAACCCTTCCCCTGCCCTGGCTCGCTCTCTCTGGGGCCCAGGGGTGGCACACTGGGGCAATGCCCAGGCCCTGGGTGGGAAAGCCCTGCCCTGTCCCGCAGGGGCTGCGCAGACTGCTGCACTCAGGGCAGTGAAAGCAACTCCTAGGTGCTCTTCCCCAGGAGCAGAGGAGCCACGGCTGCACAGGAGTCAGACCTGGCGGGGAGCTTCTGGGAGGAGGTGACTTGCTCCGTGTGTCTGACCTCACGGCCAACACATCGCGGAGGAGCCCGGTCGAGGTGGGGAAGCAGCTGAAGATGGAAGCAGGAGGGAGCCCGAGGGGCTGCAAGCTCGCGAGGCACCGGGAGGCTCGTCTGCGTGAAGCGTTATTGATCCCGGGTGCACCATCGAGGCTGCTGCAAGGTAGGGGACAGCTGTCCCCGTGCCCAGGCAGGGGAATACCGTGACCACTAAGGCTGCTTTCCCAGGACAGGGGTGAGTGGTGGTGTCTGCCTTGCTTTTGGACAGAGACCCTTGCCGTTTTCCCCGGCGCACAGCCTGGAGGACAGCGTTCTCGTTATGACTCCAGGCGTGCGAGGACACCCGGAGATCCCGATGGTGGCAGCCACCCCGATGCAGCCCGGGGCTCGGAGCATCGCAGGTGGGAGGCAGTGCGGGGAGGTGCAGGTGGGAGACCAGGCACGGGGACGCTGGGTGCGTGCAGCGAGCCTGGGAATTACTGCTCGGGGGAGGTCACGTCGGCGCCCGAGGTTGGACACCGGGCTGCGCGTCTGCGGAAGGGGCATACGAGGCCTGCACCGCCCCTGCGGCCCCCTCCCCAGGCACATGCGGCCCAGGTGGGGGGCGGTTTTCCTGGACTACGAGGCAGGCGAGGTCTCATTTTCAGCCCAGGGGTCCCCTCCCAATCCCCACACTGGAAAGGACCGTCTCTGTCCTTCCCTTGCATTTCACTGCAGTCCCCATGGGTTTTATTGCTTTGCCTCTTCACCACAGCCCCTGCCCTTGCTTCCCCCCTTCCCTGTCCTTGCATTAAAAACAGCCTGTTTTGCACAACCCGGTCTCTGCACGTCCTTCCACAGCACGAGCTGAGCACTTGCACATGAAAGCTGATGATTCAATGAGTCCAGGGTTGCTCAACCGTTCTGGTGTGCGAGCCCAGGGCCACGCACCAGGTCTGGGACCCGCGAGGGCTTGGGCTGGGCAAGGTGCCTGGGCTCGGAGCATGGCAGGGCATGGCGGGGCAGCAGCACTAGCCGTGGTGCTGGCAATGCAGCAGCTCCTATTTTTCACCTCCAGCCCCACTTCATTACACCGCTGCATGGTGCTCCCCTCAGGTCCCAAAACTCGAGCGGTGAAGCGGCTGCCCCCATTCACTCCGTTTCTGGAGCTGTGGGAGCCCCACGGGATGGATGACTTGGCTCTGCAGGCCAGACTTGACCCACAGGCCTGGGGTTGAGCACCTGTGGGTATGTCACGGGGCTGCTAGTGCCCTGGAGGGGGGCATTCACCTCCTCCACGAGGCACTCGCCCCTTGCTCCTGCTCTGCCGCAAGGCCTCGCCCCGGGGCAGGTGCACGAGCTGCAAACCGGCAGGCGGGAGGCGCCGTGCACCCAGGACGGCTGCGCCGGGTCTGCACACAGAGCTCCGGGCACCCAACGCACCCACGGGCCAAGGCGGCTGGAGGGCAGCTGCCTGGTTAGGAAGGGCTGACAGCGCAAGGGCAGGGGCACGGGGAGGGGGGCAAAGCATCAACTGCTCGGGGCTGCGGCCTGGACCACGGAGCCGCGCCAGGGCCAGGTGCCGGCTGTGCATGCGTTGCTCTGCAGGTGCGTGGGGAAGCTGCTGTCGGGGGTCTCCGAGCGAGGCGGTGGGGCCCAGAGCCACAGCTCCAGAGCTCTTAGCGCGCCGAGGAAGCGAACACGGGTGGTGCTCGGAGACCGACAGCAGCGGGTTGGTCTGCCAGCAGAGCCCGTGTCCGCGGCGCAGGGCGGGGGCTGCAGCAGGTGCCAAGCTGACCACAGCGCAGAGCCAGCCCAGCCGCGAGGCACCAGCACGGCCGGTGTGAAGTGCCCAAAACCCGCCACCGCCCTCCACGCAGCCCGCCCAGCCGCCAGCAGAAATGAGAGCAGCTGCTAACACACACGCATGTTCACACGTGTGCGTGCATAGGTGTCGTCAGGAGAGCAGAGCGGGGGAGGTGGCATGCACGTGCCAGAACGGGGCCGAGGGCAGGGCCAGAGCCTGGAGGGGCCTCAGCCCTGGGGGCCTGGGCAGACGGGTCGTGCCTGGGCAGCTGCTGGGGCCCTTCGGCCCCAGGGCAGTGGCCAGCACCCGCTGCAGCCCCGCAGATGGGTGCTGCCCGGGCCGGCCCAGGACTGGGTCCCCCAACTACCCCCGCAGGAGCCAACTGGTTGAGACCCCTGCCCAGGCCAGGGGGCATTGCTCACCCTCCCCATGGGAGAGGGGTCCTGGCAGAGGGGCCGGGGCAGAGCCAGACGGACACTCCCATCTCCGCGGTCCCCGGTCGCACCCCCCCAGGCACAGGCCTGAGGCATATTCCTGCCCCCTCCCCAGGGCACCAGGGAGTCGGACCCCCCCAGTGTCAGGGCTGTGCCCAGGTCCCCGCCTGCAGAGCAGGGGCAGCTCCTCTAGCAGGCAGCAGCAGCAGTAGGCCGTTATCCCCACGAGGCCGAGCCAGCACTACCCACACCCCCCTGCACCAGTCCACGGCTGCAGAAACGCCCCCAACCATACCAGCACCCACAGCCGCAGGACCCCCCGACGCCCCCACATACCGAGCACACAGGGCCAGGACTTGTGCAGTCAAACTGTATTTCACATCTGGTTTTCTTTGCTCTCCAGTGTCAGCTTCCCGGATCCCCCCAGCAAGGTGCTGGTGCATCGCTCCGGGGCCCGGCGCGGCAGGACACCTCCGCGGCCTGGTGCCCTGCTGCCCCCAGCCCTGGGGCGCGGTGCCGGGCAGCCCGGCACAAACAGGCACGGCGGTGAGCAAGGCAGGGGTTGCAGGCGTGTCGCAGCCAAGAGGCACCAGCCCGGCG